TTATCAAAAATATACATATAACAGAAAAAAATCTGATAAATAAAACAAAAATTCTCATCAGATAATGGTCTAATATCCAAAATATACATATTGAATATAATTAGACAAATAAAAAATTGTCATCTGATAAAGGTATAATGTCAAATATGTACTTATTTAACCCAAGAAATTAAATAAAAATTTTACCTGATAAAGTCTGATATCAAAAATATACATATTGAACACAAGTAATCAGAAAAACAAAAACTGCACATGTGAAAAAATTCAAATATCAAAATCCTTATTGAACACAAGAAATTCAGTAAAAAAAAATTCTCATCTGATAAAAGTCTAATATCCAAAATATACATTTGGAACACTGAAATCAGATAAACAAAACAAAAATTATTACATAAAAAGGTCTAATATCCAAAATATACTCATTGAACACAAGAAAGCAGACAATTAAACAAATAGTCTCATCTTATAAAATTCAAAATACAAAACGAATATATTGAACAAGAAATTAGAAAACCAAATTCATACCGCTAGCACTAATATCCAAAATGTACACACTGAACACAAAAATCAGATAAATAAACAAAAATTATTGTCTGATAAAGCTTTAATATCTGCTATGTATACTTAACCCAAGAAACCATATAAATAAGTACAAACTCTCATTTGATAAAGGGATAATATAAAAAAAATACACATTGATCACAACAAATCAGATAATTTAAATAAAAAATATCAACTGATCCTGGTCTAATACCAAAATTATATATATTAAACACAAGAAATTAAATAAAATAAAATTGTCCTCTGATAAATATTTAATATTCAAAATATACATATTGAACACCAAAAAATCAGTTCAAAAAACAAATATTCTCATCTGACAAAGGTCTAATAGCCAAAATATCTGGGTACATTTGTTGACAGGGTGAAGTGGTTTGTGAGTCTATGGTTGTTTCTGTGTCTTTTTAAAACTGACAGGGAAACACAGGTTGGGTTCAGGAAGAAGTAGGATCTCTTCTTCTGAGACAGATATGGTGCTGTTGAGCATTTCATGAAATGCACATCCCACTGCCTTGTGAAAATCCATCTGTCATAGAGTGCTTTCTTAACATCTTTATTACAGTAAGTTACCAGGTACAGCAACTTAGAATGGGAGAAATTAATCATAGCCCACAATTCCATGCACTAGTTCCATTTTTGGGAAATCGAGGTAGGAACTCAGCTAATGATATCACACCAAGAGCAGAGATAAACAAATGTACCCATGCTGTCTGTTTGCTTATGCTTATGCTCTAGCTTCTTTGTAGAACACAATACAGGTTGCAGAAAATGAAATCATCTGCCCATGTTAGAGACTCTAAACTCAATTAAC